TTTATCAGAAGAATAGCTGGCTACAGTACACGTCAGTTGAGCGCTGTCGCTCTGCGGCACTTGTTTTATATAATAATTACATTACATATAATTTTCAAATGCTATTATTGCATATTTCAAGATTTTGGTTACCAACATTGTTGAAATTACTATCCAAAAAATAGGATACCAGATCTTTGGGGGGGATACCAGATTTCAATACCTGGTATCCCGAATGGATACCATAATAAAAATCTAATTTTGACCCCTGTATATATATACCACCAACACATGCCATGTGCTCTAGCTCTCTTTCTCTCGCTCTCTCTTGAGTTACAGCCACCTGGCACTATCTGGTCAAGTTCTGTGTTTAGCGTTTATGTACGTAACATAACAGACCTGTCCATCTCGTGTAATTGGCAGGCAGCTTTAGCTGCGATCAAGGATAGTTTGGGACCCCGCCAATGTGTTTTCGCAAATATGGTAAATTAATCCGGGGTGCTGAACTAGGCTTGGGCAGCTTTTGCCCCGATCAATCTTGAGAGGAGACGTGCTAAAGACTGCTCATTAGGGAGGTCACTTGGAGTCGATATTTTTGTTGGGATGCAAACGTGCGTTTAAGCGCACGAACTTGGCGATCTTGGCTGATCAGGAAACGATATCACAAGGGAGAGGGCATGTTTACGTTGTTCAATATAAACGTTATCAAATTATGAAATCCAAGTAATACTAGATTTTTCTTTTGATGTAAGCGACTGTAACTGCTTCGATGTCACAGCGTATTTTATGCAGACATTGGTTCATGCTCGAGTTTCATTTTCAGGCAATGACGCTGCCACAGTTGCGTTCACAGAGAATGCAGAAAAAAACTTTTGTGGCGGACCAAACCGAACTGGATAGGAACAAATATAAGGCAGAGTTGCAAGGTAACCATATATTATGTATATAGAAAACAAAAATGTTAGATACATAGGGTCAAGTGCAACAACAGCATTCATAAAGAAGGTGTTTTCTATATAAACAATGTATAGTTCTTTGTTATAACATTGGCAATAACCTCTTAGTAGATGTGACCTTATTATAAATTAGAGTGCAGGACTATTGACAGACTGTATGCCAGTATTGCTTTGGTACATCAAACATTTATCTGCAATGACTCTGTCTCGTGAACTATCTTTTATTATGTAGCTGTTATTGCATTTGAAATAATATAATATTTTATCTCAAATTTTGGCACATAGCGATCTAGTTTTTAACTTTTCACACTGTATATTCGAAAGTGACATATTTATATGTAAACTTCCTATTTAGATGGCAGCAATAGGATCTACGTCATTTTTATCGCCTAAATAGCGCATGCATGATCACGTGTCGTAGTCAGTGTAGCGTGGTCTTTCTATCACTCACATGGTGATGTGTATTTTGTTATGAATTCATAGATGCGGGATTCTACGAAGAAGGAATGACTTTGTCTGAAATGAAGGAACTGAGCGTAAGTGTCCTATTGAACAAAATCGCAATCCAACTTTGCTTATTACTTTCAACTTTTAACTTTGAATTACCATAGCCTTGAGTAATAAGCTCGTCCCCAGAGTCCGTGCAGCTGTACGGATGGCTTTTATTTAAAAAAAAGGTTATCCTTTCTGATCAAAATTAGGTTCAACATTCACAGGATGTTATAAGATCCGTGTCGTTATACATTACGAAAACGTGTGTTACGATCAGCATCAAGTAATGTGTAGGTTTACTCAGGGTTGGAAATTAAGGGTAGCAAGCACCAATTTTTTTGCCTGCAAGGGTTAGATGGCTGCCTGCTCTTAATGTCGACAACAAATTCTTGCTCTTAAGAAATTCCTAATAAACTGTATTAAAGGCACACAAAGATTCTGTCTGGGTGAGTAAATTTGCTGCTTGCTCTATTTTTCGGGCAGCAAGTAGTTGCTGGCTTGTTAAAAAGTTAATTTCTAACGCTGGGTTTATCTCACACAGAGATACACTTGAGTGTTTTGTCTAAGGAAATGGTTTATTATGGATAGCTGGCACTAAGCATGTCAATGGAAGCAGAAAAGAAGGAAAACAGCTATAAAATGCTAGTCGAAGACCAGGCACACTACTTAGAGCAGCAGGGATTGGATCACACATCACCAATACCCAAGACCGAATTCCCCAGCAAGCGTGTACGTATATATATACGAGTATACACGTATCAGGAATCGTCAGAGCTTTCTTAATGCATATATATGTGAGTCATTTATGACAATGCTACACTAATTCACTTCGCCTTAGCCGATGTCGTACGTATGCATGACATTTTTTAAGTTATCACATCAATGCTAGAGCATTTCGTTGAAATCGACGCATCTAAGATGACTCTTTAATCTTCTCGCGACCAATTTATCCTTATCGTGTGTTTTTTTTCTCACGTGCGTGACGTCAGTTTGCGCATTCGCGCACTCGCCAGCCCAGCGACGGCAGCAGCGGCCGCGCATCTTGTCAGAGCGGACAGGAAAGTGCCGCGGGATGCCAGACTCCTGATCTGTTTCCCTGTAGCGATACAGGTGCCACACAGGTGAGCTCGCGCGCGCCGTATTTGGTGCATGCACACGCACCCGGTAACGTGCCAAATTTCCGGCCCGAATTCTCGTTGCACATCTCTAATCGTCTAACTACAGCAGCCGTAATCCTGAATTTGCAATGCTATAGAGCCGTGAATGTTTATATATATATATATAAATATATATATATAATAAATGTCTAAATATATAATAATATATATACAATATATATATATGTAAAGCCTGTGGAAAAATACTAGCAACCAGTTGGTCTCCTGAAATTAAATAAAAGTAATATCATTAGGTACCCGGCCGGCTCAATTTTAGGGGCCCAGCTTATGGCACAAGGCGCAAAAGTTTGGAATTCGTTTTCTTAGAAATTGAACCAGATTTACGACACGACAATATTTACAGCGAATCAATTGGGAAGAAAACGTAGTGATTGCACCGATTATTGAACGTATAACCATAAAAAAAGCAACCCCTCGCACTCCTAGCTACTTTTTCAATAAATTTCTGAAGCCCAATGAAGGCTGTCATTTTCCTCGGACGACCGGGTTAGAGTGTTAATTTTAGTCTCCGTCGCACAATTTTTCGCGAAAACGAACAAAGCGACTGCACATCCGCTACAAAAACATACCTTGCTGAGGATATACGGATGCTCGGCATTCGCATCAAAATTAGATCCACCCACTGCCCACGTAGCTCTTCGCGTCGCCACGGCGCCGCGCGGCGAGGCATGGGCAGGTCGCGAAATTAGCACCGCCCCACCGTCATATGCCGTCAAATTATTTGGAGGGCCGGTAATATTGGCAAAACACCGGCTTTGCGAGCCGGTGGTTTCGTCCGTGTTAGCGAGTACCTACTTTTATATTTATAGCATTAATACATGTAATAAGCAAATAGCCTACATTCCTGTTTTACCTGAAGGATATCACGCCATAACTTATCAACATTTTACAAATTTGAAATCGAGAATGCAAGCGTGAAACATCACGTTGACAAAAACACTTCGGACATCATTCACGATCTGGTTCAAACAGCAAAAAAAATTTCTTAGGGCTGGTAAATTATGGTGAGAGCTGATAAAAAAAAGAAGCTATTACCAGCCCTCTGGGCCGGTGCAAAAAATTTGAATTTTATGCCCTGAGTACGGGTGACCGCAGTGGGCTTCCTCTTCTAACGACTTCTCGTTTGCACTGCCATCTCCGCCATTTTTCGTCGTTCCTCTGCTTGCAGGAGGAGAGAAGGGCGACAGGAGCGGACGACGCCGCGGTGGAAGGCGACGTTGTGTCAGAGGAGGAGGAGGAGGAGGAGGAGGAGGAGGAGGAGGAGGAGGAGCTCGCAGTATCGCCGACGAGAGAGGACGGAGGATGCCGCCGACGGTAGTGACGTCCCGATGATCGATTATAATCGAAAGTCGGTCGTTTGCAGCAACCGACTAAGCGCTCGATTAGGAAAATAAATAATCGATTATCAAAAATTTATTTTATTTTATTTTATATAACACATGAAAACGTTGATGAAATGACTCATTATATTATTTTTGTGTGTTTTGGTTACTTTACAGCTTATATAGCTAACCTACACCCCCCTCCCTATGTATTAATACTGTTACGTATCTTTTAGAATATTGTATTATAAAAAATACTGTATTATTATGATATATGATATATTTCAATATCTGGTAGCTGCGATCAATAACATTCAACCGATGATTTTTGATCATCGATCGGTTGGGTACAACCGATGATCGTTGATGAAATTCTCACCGATTCCCATCACGCGCCGACGGCTCGACGCGTAAGATGGAGTTTCTGCGGCGCTGCACCACGCGCCGCCGCCGCCGCGTTTGCGTTCTCTCGACGTCTGCTCATGACGACGAGGCGCAGGAAGATTTCTTTCGTTGAGTTTATTGTTCGTTTATCGGCGCGCAGGATCGACGACGACGACTACGACGACGACGACGACAACGACGTGGGCGTGGAGTGCACGGCGGGTCTTCGCGCTGAGGAAGGGCCGCGGACAAACGGACTACGGAAGCTGTACTCTGGAAGCCCCGGTTGGGAACGCGATGGAACGTTTGCCGTCGACGAAGAAGGGGATGGAGCGCGAGGAACATTGCTCTCACCACCGGTAAGTCGGCCATTCCATCGTGTGTGTGTGTGCGTGCATGTGTGCAGGGGTGGGTGGGTGTCCATGTCCGTGCGCGTGCGTCCGTGTGCATGTGCGTGTCCGTGCGCATACGTTCATGTGCGTGTGCGTCCATGTGTGTGTTATGTGAATATGGGTTTATATTTATGTAAGCTACGCATTTTCATGTTTTTACACAAAGACGTGCCATGAGAGTAGGCGGCGTACTTTTTTGTCCACTGATTTCTGAATTTTGTGAACTTTTATTACGTACTCGGTGGTTTGGGTTCGTTTTTAGATTGTCAGCTCGGCTGACGAGCGTTTTCGTCTAGACCGAGATGTTATTGTGTCTGCAAGTCTTGCCAACAAACAAAGGATGGCAAAGATGGTATGTTGTTGCCATTATTGCATCTCTCTTTCTGTTGCACTCTCTCTCTCTATCTCTACATATCCCTTTCCCTCTCCCTCTCTCTCTCTATCTCTACATATCCCTTTCCCTCTCCCTCTCCCTCTCCCTCTCCCTCTCCCTGTCCAACCTCTCTCTCTATCACTTTTCCCTCTCCCTATTTCTCTCTCTCCTACTCACTCTGTCAGTCTCTCTTTATTTCTCTTTCTCTTTCCCTACTCAATCTGTTAAACTCTTTCTCTCTCTCTCTCACTCCCTCTTTGTTGTTCTCTCATTTCACTCAGAAATGGTGTATCTATTTCATGAATGGAGTGCAATTTGCATTCTGAATTCAAATGATTATCGACATAAGCTGTTTTAACGGTCGAGCATGTGTTGTTTTGAATGTCTCGTCCTGTGTGTGTGTAGCCTCCGAGCCGGAAAGGTCAACGCCTGCCACATTGTATTAATATACCGAACCGGAATCACTACAACTACGTACCATTGTTGCTGAAATTGTGGGCTGACTACGCACAACTGTACAAGGTATATCTCTATTTCTAGGCATATTAAATGCATTGCTATGCGTTTCTAGGCTATTTCTATGCGTTTGAAAGTAATGTATTACTTTTCCATGTGAGCAGCTGCACACAACGTTATTGTATCCCCCGCGACGAAGTCGGCGGGGATACTATGGTTTCATGTCTCCCCAGCCGCCGCGCCGATGACAATTTCCTTCCGTTCTATAACTCGACGCCCTTAATTCACCTAGCGCTTACCAAAACTCGGTATAAACTTAACACATCTTTTGGGGAGAAGGGTGAGCAGCGTACTGCAAAAAAGTCTTGGACTTATTTACCTTTTACCTTGACTGATCATATTTCCGTTCGCCTCTAACTCGGCCCGCTAATTGACCGTAGCGCTAACGCAAACTTTGGTATACTATACACATACTGGGGAGAAGGTAGCAGCGTCGATAGAACCAAGGTTCACAGGCGCGACTCTTTTTTGATCTTATACCTTGACGTATGATCTATTTCTTACGCTCTATAACCGGCCCTAATTGACTCCGCTACCAAACTGTAAACTTACAACCATCTTGGAGAAGTGGGCAGGCGTACCAAAACCAGGATCATCGCGCTTTATTTGACGTTTACATTGACCTGATCAATATTCCTTTCCGCTCTTAACTCGGCCTAATTACGCTAGCTAACAAACCAGGTCACTACGACCTTTATTTGACCTTTACTTTGACCTTTGATCATATTTCCTTCATCTCTATAAACTCGGCCCTAGATTGACCTTAGCGGACAAACTTGGTATATTACACATCTTGGGAGAGGTGTCGTCCGTCGAAACCAGGTCACTGCAACATTTTTTGCATTGACCTTGACCTTGACCTTTTTTTCGACCTTCATATTTCCTTTCCACTCTATAACTCGGCCCCTAATTGACCTAGCGCGACCAAACTTCGTATACTTACACATCTTGGGGAGAACACGGGGGATACATGTAGTTGGCGACAACTGCCCTTTCTAGTTTTTAGTACATCTGGAAATGCCAGTAGTGGAGTTGATATGTTATTAGAAAATTCGTACGTCATTGTATCTCTACGGAGACGTCAATGAGTGGAAATATACGTAGCTTGGCTTTGCTTTTGTCGTTGTTGCTGTCGTCATATAACTCTCTTAGACTTGGAGATACCCAAAAGGTGATCTCAATAGGCATGGTGTGTACAGCAAGGATAATGTTTACGGTGGTTTTAGTCAGAAAATTTTGTGGACTCGTAATTTGTAGTAAATGAAACTGTATGAAGTTATGATAAAGCCTAAGGTGAAGACTTTTTAGGGGAGTCTAGGAAGAAGTGATGGATGGAGAAATTACCCGCAGTTGTATTGTCATGCTATGTTGAAGTTAATTTTCATGAATCTCAGTAAAGTTGCTGCAAGTTTCACATTCAGTTGCTTTTTTATAACCAATAACAGCATCAATGCTGGGTTATTTTTAAGCCGGGTTATCTAGTAATATGTCTGACAATAGGTAAGACCACATTTCTCTGCAAATTTTTATTTTTCGATGTACAAGAGACAAAATTACTTTAACATTGTTTAAAGTGAAATCGAGGAGTAAGGTATGAGCATGTATAAATCTGATTACAAAGAAGTTGGATATCAGAAAATGAGCAACTTCCCAGATTGCCATTCACACAATAACGTGCACGTAAACTCTGGTTTCCAGATCATTGATTGTCAATCCTTTAAGAATAATACACCTTGGAAGCCAATTAATGTTGGACCATGTGTACCTGGCTCGCTGATCTACCGGAAAAAGGGTAGATCGGTTGTACAGGATCCACCAGAGTTGTCAGGCAAAATGGTAACTCTGCAAGGCAGCAAGACCACATCAGCTCAAGGCAGAATCACTAGAAGTAAGGCTAATAAATCTCAGTTATTAATCGTAGAAGTGTGGTCGGTCCCAGAATGTCAATGTCTGTTCTCACTGTTTCGATGTCGACGTCTCAATGTCTGATCTTAATAATCCTTTGATGTCTGGTTTCAATGACCATCAATCTATATTATGTCACTCTTCGTAACATCTTTGCGATCTTAAATAATCAGCAATAATTAATAAATTAAATAATTATTAAATAACCCCAACCTCCATTTGCTCTACCAAATTAAAACAGCATGTGAGTGTGCCGGTATGGTGTACACCGGGGTGTACGGACTTATTTGGGGCATCTGCAGGGACCCGCGCGTGGCATGACAGCGACGGCGATCCCGCCCCGCCGGTGGCGCCCTCCCACCGCATGATGACGCGCAGACAAGTGAACATCTTCGACGAGAGCGACGAAACGCTGCCCGACCTCGTCGTCCCGGCGGCCGACGACAACGACGGTCGCCGCGGCGACGGCGACGCCCTGCGCGTCGTCCGCAACCGCAATCCGGCCGGAAAGACGATCGGAGGAGGCGGCGCCGCCGCGCCGAACCCTCGGCCTGAATCCGACCTGCCGGCGAGAAGACGATTGCGGCCCCTGGTGCCCGCGCGTCCGCTCGGCGAAAGCTGGGACGAGGCGCCCGCAGCGCGAGACATGAGACGGACGTACGGCTCGGGCAGACGGCTCGCCGGAGGGCAGCGTCCCCGCCTCCTCGCGTCTAGCTCGGCACCGACGGTCGGTCGCCGCGGCGACCCCGCTGCTACCTCGACGACGGCGGCGGCGGCTTTTGATTGGTCGTCGGATGACGACGACGACGACCGCGACGGGAACGCGGACGGAGGAGAGAACGAGTCTGACGTCGCGCAGCGGATGGACAGCAAATGCGGCGGCGATGGTGGCGCCACCGCTGCGCCACTCGCCGTCGGGAAAGCACACGGAGCAGCGGGGGAAATGGACGAACAGCGTGGGACGTCGAAACAGCCGAGCGCGCGCTCCGTAAGCAACACGAAATTAGTCATTAGAAATTAGTGACTTCTTTTTCATGAAACCGCATGTTAACAATAGAACGATTCACGACCGTTTTTTTTTCTCATCGGTTTCGGAGCAAAGTGACCAGACCTGAAGCATGTATTTGCTTTGGCCTGACGCGAGACAAAAACGAAACTAAACGAAACGAGAATAAGTTGATGTATTTAAAAGATCAATTTTTTTTTGCGAGCAGGCGCAAGTCACGGGAGAGAGGGTGCCGCGACAAAGAGTCCGCGTTGCTGCGAGAGCAAAGCCACCAGAGGGCACCACGGTGGCAACGCGCAGACCTAAGACTGCTGAAGTGGTCGAGAACCGGAGACCGGAAGTCAAAGCCGACGACGGGGGAGGGAAACGGAAAGCAGAATCCAACACCATCAACAAGGGAGAGAAACGGAGACTGGAATCCAAAGCCGCCGACGGGGTAAGGAAGCGAAAACCGGAATCCAACGCCGTTGACGGGGGAGAGAAACGGAGACCGGAATCCAAAACCGCCGACGGGGGAGAGAAGCGAAATCTGGAATCCAACGCTGCTGACGGGGGAGGGGAGCGGAAACCGGAATCCAAATCTGCCAATGGCATCAGGAAGCGAAAATTGGAATCCAACGCTGTCGACTGGGGAGAGAAGCGGAGACCGGAAACGACACGGGTCACGAGAATGACTGCAAAGTGTGTCGATGTTGCGAAAGTTGCCGAGCCGACCGCCGAGCAGGTAGGATAAATCCGATTGTTGCCTTTGTGGCGGGTGGTAGCGGTGATTCCCGTGTTAAAGTAGGAGGAGGTGGTGGGGTCATCACGCACGAAAATGGGAGAAAATGTCTAAGTTGGTGCAAAGTCGAGACCGCGAATCGAGAAGTAAATGAGTGTGTCGTCGGTCGCCGGACTTCTAATACTGGACTTCATTAGCCTTAATTAGCAGAGTTAATGAATCGTGGGGTTTTCCGCGGCATCTAGTTTTGCAACGCGTGCGTGGCCCCTCGATCGCATTTGCATCCGCTGGGAAAAAAACTCGTCGATTTAACGTTACGACATCCGTCTCCCCGCAGCGGCAGCGCCATGAGGACGACGACGACGACGATGACATGACCCAGATTCACCCGCGAGCCCTCGCTGGAGGCAGTGTTGCCACGGCGATGCAGCCGCCGGAGCCCGGTGTCATGCGGCGTGTGCACGTGCGCTGTCCGCTGTGCGCTCTTCACTACCGGGACGACGTCATAGAGCTACACGCAGCCGAGTGCACGGGCGAAAGGTGATGCTGTCGCTAAGCTCTAGAGAGGGGAGAGAGAGAGAGAGGGAGGGAGGGAGGGAGGGAGGGAGGGAGGGGCAAGAGTGAGAGCGAGAGCGAGAGAGGGCAAGAGTGAGAGCGAAGGCTAGAGCGGGAGAGAGAGAGAGAGAGAGAGAGAGAGAGAGTAGCAGCAGGACTTTATGCGAGATAGGATAGCCCCATAAGTGTCTTATGCTACCACACTCCGGGGTTTCTTCCGAGGGAAAATTAGACAAAGGAGGTAATGGCTAGTTGGAAAAATGGAAAAAACACGCATGGTGGATTCAAAGACGTGCCCTAGGCACGCATGCGGGCGCTGCAGTCGGACGCCGGGGGGGGGGGAACATTTTCGCAATGGCGATGTTAATTTTGACAACGGCGGTGCGCCACTGTGCCTCTTATGTATAAGAAACCTATACATAAGAAAGAAGCCTTCACAGCAGGACGATTCGCATAGAGGCTGTACAAGTGTCACGCAGCATGATGTCATCGCCATTCGTAGCAGCGTTCCCTTAGCGTGATAGCGTTTTATATACTATATATAGCAGAAGAATCTAGTGTTTTTCGCTCCCGCTGTTAGCCAAGGTATGCGGTTAATTCTGTCATGTGCTAGATAGTTGGCCAGGCTACTGCGCAGTTAGAGAGCTCTTGCTATCCTTCTACCCACCTGATGCTAGCTGGAAGATGCAATCCCCCCCGGCTCCATCAACTTACGAGAAATATTTTTTTCGCGTAATTCTCCGTTAGTTACGTCATCAGCCGGTGTTTAAATTTTCGGCTCCAATTGCTGTAGAGATCGAGAACTAATGTGATCTCGTTGTAACTTCTGTGTTCCTTTACTTTCCTTTCGTGTTATCGTTATCCGCATTTTTCTTGTTATACCTGTGCCAGCATGTCGTCGCCGTCTTTCATTGTTACGTATTATTTTTATTTTTACGAATAGTCTTTATTTGTCGGCACGCTGAATCCTGTGATATTCAGGGTTCGTAGCGGGTCTTCCAAAGGCTTATAAGTACTTATTTTGCCAAAAATAAAATAAGGGCCCTTATTAGTACTTATTTTTGGTGAAATCTTAGAAAAGTACTTAATAGTCCTTATTTTTCAATCTACAATATTTCATATAAATTGTTTTATAAACTGTTCTCGACTTAGAGTAAGAATTGTTGTATATATAATACGGAATAATTAAATCTGCTGTGCAATTGTTATATAAATATTATTAGTGTACTTTAATAGTCGGTGATCTATCAGAAATCGCGTAAAAAAGTCTTATTTTGGCCTTCAGAATGGGTCTTATAAGTCCTTATTTCAACATGTGTCTTTCTACTATGAACCCTGATATTGAGTTCAAACGTTATCTTTAGGCTGTGGCTACGCGTCCGGTTACCGGCCGCCCAGCTCCCAGGCTATGCGTCCGGTCATATATTTCTTATGCGAACCCAAATATATTTTTTCAGTAAAAAACAAACAATAAGTTTTTACCATAATATTACTTACCTTTAGGTATTTTATCAAAAAAGTGTGTTTTTGTAACTTTTTAAGCAATAGTAAATCCAGTAAAATCAACGATTTGAAAGGGGGCGTGGCCTAATCGTGACGTGGATTTGGGAATCTGTGCTGAGCTTTGTAATGGATGACCGGACGCGTAGCCACTGTGTTTTTCTAAGACTCTACGCCTGGAAATGTGTATAGTATATTTAAACACATTATTAGTATATCCAACACAAAATGAGTGTGCTGCATCATGTGATAAGTAAGAAAGAATATGAAGAGACAAAAGAGTGCAAACAAAACAATGTTATCATCGCCACCATTACCAACACCAGTAGCAGCAGCAGCAGCAGCAGCAGCAGCAGCAGCAACAGCAGCACCAACACCAATTAACACCAGTAGCAGCAACAGCACCAGCAGCCCCACCACCACCACACACCACAACCATCACTACCACCAGCAGCAGCAGCAGCAGCAACAGCACTGCCACCACCACCACCACCAACAACAACAACAACAACAACAACAACAACAACAACAACAACAACAACAGCACCACCACAGCCGCCATTCCATTAATCAGTTATCATCATCAACACCAGCACTATTGTGATTAACATCAGTACCATCTTAATTGTCATCAGCTGCAGCATCACCACCATCACCGTCACCGCCAATTGTCGTTGACGCGTTGACAATTTACGAAACTATGGGTGTGGGATTTTGTTCCTGTACACACCACAACAGCAATACGTGCAGCTAAATAACATTTTAATTAAATACTCAACTTCATAAAACTATATCTAATATAGCACCAACTTGATACACGTAGAAGTAACATACTAGTTAGGTAACTAGTAAGTAATCATATGCCTGGTCTCTCTATACATTTTTATGACACACGCGATTGGTGTTTGTCTAAATTAGAGACATGTTCGTATGAATGCGCACATTATTAATGCAAATCACAAACAATAAACGTAAATATTAATAATAATAACTCTAAAAAGATTACTAGATACATAAATAACTCATTTGTTTAGATAGTATGCAGATCCTGCTATTGACGCTGAGAGGGTCTATGTCCCTCAGGGTACTGCCGGAAAGTAACCCTGGGTACGGTCCGGCCAGTACCCTTGGGGACATAGACCCGCTCAACATTACTCAGTGTACTAACGCAAAAGCTGGCAATCAGACTCAAACTACATCTGCTAATACTAAATCAATATTATTATTT